GGGGGGGGGGGGAAGACACGTTGCTTTGTCAACAGGCGACTCGACCACAACGATGGCATTCGAGAGAACCGGGACGTCACGTCAGCAGCTGCAGATACGATAGGAATCATTCATATCACCCACTACTAATTTGAAAGGAATTTCTATGAGATGATCTCATCACTGTAATCGAACTGCGATCACCGGGATCACAGTTGAAAAAACAAAAGAAAAACTAATTTGATGATGACGTTCAACAAACTTTTTGAGTAAATCAAGTGATTCTTGACAACAATAATAAGCAATTATCCCCTTGTTTTCTTTTTTGTTTGAATGGCTAATACATTCATCAGTTATTACCATCATGGCGCGTAATTACGCGCGAGATTTGCGATTGATTTATGAGAAAACAATTCCACTCACGTCAATTTAAATGATTCGAGGTACAAAGTTCCGAGTAATGAAGGGAAATGAAAAAATTGTACTTTTGTCCAGGTACAACTCGGTCATTATTCACCTTTCAACACTTCCTCATTTGGTGGAGAATAGAGGTTTGATTGGTTGTGGGAATAAGTTGTTAATTGCAGATCATATTTCTGTATGGGACATGCTTGTGATTTATTTTCACCTTTGGGATTAAGAAGAGACTGATTTTTCTCAAAATCTATCATATTTTTTCCGATACTAAGTCACCGGGGCTTTGAATAAATAGATTGAAATTCTTCAAGTAATTCATTGACTTTCTTTTTAAAATTGAAAGTTGAAATTTCATTACCTTCGTTACGGGAGAATTGTTCTGCAACCGTTATCATACATTCCACCTCGAAAAATAAGAACTGGCCAGATAATGTCAATAATTACCATTTTTCAAACGTCACAAATCGTGACGACTAGAAGTCTCAGTGATTAATATTTAGTAGGAAAGAAAAAAATCTGGTGTATAATTACAACCCAGTCCAACACCCTATTGATTATTATTCCACCGATTGTGCAAAGACTAATGAAACATTAGGAATCGTGAGCTAAGTAGCTGTCGGAACAGTGAAACAATAACACTCGGGGGAATTCACTGGTTGGGGTTAAAGATCGATGGAAAAGAGAAAAGCCAAGGAGATTTGCGTCAAACAATTTTTCCAGGGTATTTTATTTTTTTTTGCAGATGCATAACGTTCACTTTTATTTACACCGATTCATGGTCAATAGGTCAAAGTGGAAACTTGGATCGATTTTTTAAATTATTTTTTTGGGTCATGGCAAACTGAATGAATAAAAAATTCGGTGCATTTGAAAGTAAATTTTGTTTCGATAAAACTCTTCGATTGATATTAAAGGGAAATGCGTATTAATTAACTATTATTCTTCAGAGGAAAGGCGGAAGCTGTCGAAGTCAAAATAGCCCACTTCATCCGAAGAAGAGTTTCTGTCATTTTTGAATAGAAATTTTTCTTTTCGAAGTGCCAAAATAAATTTAAATTCCCAACTGAACTACTCTCAAATGTAAATTTCGCACGTGCTTTTCTCGAATGTAAGTCAATGGTCTTTTGTCAGAGAGACCCTAGGAAATCACAATTTCAAAGAGTCTCAAATTTTTGAATAATTGAACTCGTCTAGTCAATAACAGATACTGTTGGCACATTTATGAACGTTACATTCAATTTTAAAAACAAATTTGAGTATTTTACCGTTTTCGTGAACGAATCAATTCACAAAGGAATCAAACAATTTGTGTCATTGGCATTCATTAGCGATTTTTTAAAAACCAATAAAACAATGTCAAGAGCGAAAACAATTTTGCATTATAATAAATTGTTCGTGTTATGGAAAAATAGTGAATAATCAATCGTAACTTGTCGATTCTCCCGTTTATCTGTTATCTGTTGCCAGATAATTTAAAGTTAAAGTCAGTGACTCTGACGAGCACCACAGCGTGACACGGCGGAAAGTGCATCGTGTCACTAACTCCTTTATTATTCAATTTTTATGCTCGTGAAGTAATATTGAGGATTTACACCATCGGATAGACATCGTGGGCCAATATCAATATCAATCGTCTTGACTGGCATAACGTGTCGTACGCCTCATGTTATAGAGATGTTTATGAATATAAATCAATGATGAAAAATCGGGTCAAGTGTTAATACAAAACATTTATGAATTCACCCGGTTTCCTGCTAAAAACTGTTTTGGTCTCGCTTCCCATTCGTCGATTTCTGCGCATAAATCACGAGGAAATGCAGCTTGCTGACGATATAAGCCGACAAATTGAAAGAGAGCATTAAAAATAATGCTCTAATTTCCTTTCCCCCTCGGTTTACGCTCGCTCATTTACTTTGTTGTCAATGCTGAATTTTGTTCTATCTGTGGGTAGTCATTTTGATAAAGGATATTCTGAATGAAAGCATCCAAACAATTCGCGGTTTCTAAATCCTGATATCAATGTCTTATTTTGGACGTCAACTTTTTTATACGTCTCTACCACTGCGCCGAGTGCTTCCGGCTAGTTTGATATTGCCATAGGTCAAAAAACAACTCACCCAGTTGTTGGCATTCCTCTCTGACTCAGGTGCACCTCGTTCTGGCCCTGAAAGAAGAAATGAAAACAACAAATTCAGCGGGGACAGGATGACTTTGATTTTATATGAATTTAATTACACTTCGAGAATTTGATATTCGTTTAAGCTCGAGGAAACTTCTTCAGTCGATTTCAATTGCTGACGAGGTGAAACAAAATTGCATTTTTATCTCATAACAAAGTTATTTACATTCACTCGATTAATCGTTGATCTGTTGGAATGAAAGACATTCAGGTTCTCGTTGGAAAACTACTGGAATTTTTAGTCCGGACCTACTGCATAAAATGTCCACCTATTAATCTATTTGCGAATGGATTGTTAGTGAGGATTGGCCAAACGGAAAGTTACAATGACCTTCCATCAGTCGCTCTCCAAGTCATCTCCCTCAACAATGCCAAAGTCCGTTGTGAAAAAACTTTTATATTTCGAGTTTTGAAACCTGATATCTAGCATCTTTAGCGATTCTGATGAATCATTCAAAAAACTCTGGAATATTCACTAGAGTTTTATTCAAAAAATTATACTTGCAACAAATGAAATAAATTTTCCAAGCAAAATACCGCTTCCTTAGCGTATTTAATTGATAATAATAATAGAAAAATAACAACACTTGACGTCATTAGAATTACATTGGAAAATCACAGAAAAATCCCCAGAGAAAACAGGATAGATCATCGCGTGAAGAACAACAAGCAATGATTTCCGTTTTATTGGAAAAATAGCTAACTCGTGAGTCAAGTGAAATACCCAAACTCCAGAAAGTTCTGTCATTGACGTGGGGAAACACCTACAAACATCAATGAAGCACTCACTGAAGTGCAAAGTTCGATTAAGTGTACCGATTATTCCTTTTATTTTTCATCCCACCGTTCTCCTCTATTTCTCTGGCTGCAGTATATTTATATGCCGTACTGAGACTCCCTATACACTCATAATCGTAATTATCGGTAACGCAACAAATCGAGCCATAATCGATTATTGTTCAGCAACCTTGAGGATCTCCTGTCGTACGTCACAGATAACTGGGGAAACTACGGCAATTAATTCGCACATCCATAAATTGTCAATTTGTCAATCACTTGTTTACTGCTATTCAAATTGGACTTTTATTGTAATTTTTTTCAAAGGATTTCTGGGGATCATTTAATTGAGCATCTCGTCCTGTCATCATTAACCTGTTGAAATTTCCAGGGTTTATTTAGAAAATATAAGACAAAAAAATCCCAGACAGAATTTTTTGCTAGTGATTCAAGTGATTTGTGTAAAATCAAGGGGGAAGAAATGTTTTTAAAAAACGAGGTCATTGTTACAATTAAAATGTCAATCGGTATTGTACATTCCGAGGGAAGCTAAATTAATAAACAATTTTCATCGTGATATTTACAACTAATTTCTCATCGAAAAAGAATCGTCATTAATCTTGAGAGAAAAAAATCGTGATACACGTGAGAATAATTGCAGAATTATCATCAAGTTTTTTCCTCAGAACGCCGGAGATCTGGTTGTAATGATCAGATACGTTCATTTTCCCGTGAATTCCGCAGGAGAAGTTTCTACGTACAAGGGGAGGGGAATTAGTCTTGAGAGAAAAAACATAAGAATAAAACGTTGGAAAAAACCAGGTGTAGCTGATTCTCCATCAGTGGTAATCACCTAATTTATTTTACTAGAAGTGGATATATATACGGAAATATTAACGTTATGGTTTGTTGAGTGAATTTATTCAAGCTCTGAGATTTAAAATTGGTGATAAAAAAAAACTTGTGATGCACTGGTTGATGCGTAGGATGGCATCATGCTTGTTGGCAAACATTATTCAATTTTTTTATTGAAAAAATTGCAATTCATGTCTCCTTTTATTATAGGAGGGAAAAAAATCATACCACTGTTCAATTTGAGGTTTTTGCGACGCTATTTGTAATTTTTTAAGGAATTATTCATATAATTCTGGATTAAACCGCTAGATTGCATTGTAACAGACTGAAAAATATTGACAGAAAATTACACTAGAGAACGATGGAGGAAACTGTAGTATGAGTGCATTCTCTTTCATTTTTCGTTTTGTCCTTGAGGTTTCCCAAGGTGAGTAACTTGTAATCAAAGAGTTAAGGGTTTCACAAATATATTCAAATATCGTGAATTTGCTTCTCGATTATTGTTCCATAAATCCTTGAATGAAGAAGAGCTTTATTTTGGGGACACGTGTCAGATGCAGCTCATGATTTGTACTTTGGATAGAATGAAATTCAAACAATGGAGAATCCTTTTGCCTTACTCTCCATTTCAGATGCATTTATTCTTGATGATTTTGTGCACAATCACGACCACCGACTGTGTTTTCAGCGCTAGTAATTTGGCAGGACGACGTGATTTTCTTGTAATGGAAATGTCAACACGGCGGAGAGGATTTTCAATGTCGGTGAATGGAATATTAAAGGTGATTAGATGAATAATTGATCATCCAATATCTACTGCAGTCATTCAAGATGAAAGAAAGAAAAAACGTTTGTGAAACACCTGGAGCATTTGTCATTTTCTAGAATTGTGAATTTGGCCAAGTTCTCCAGTCTGAAATTCCGAGAATGCAGTTGAATGTGAATAAACTCTCGCGAGAGAAGGCCAGACATAATCTAGAATGATCCATGCAGGCCTGCGTCAAAGAAATGCAGCCGATGAGTTCGAAATGAAAATCGATCGATCATTTGGCCGATTCAATGAATGAATAACGGAATGCGACCGCGCGTGAACCCATGAACTTGAAGAATTAATGACGAATTTAAAAAATGTGCAACTGTTGAGCGAGAAAATTCTCCCGATTTCGCCAACGCCGAGGTAACATTCACCCCTACCACCTCCATTATTTCCTCTCCCGTGTGGCTACAAGAATTCATGAAAACAAATTGTAACAAACGCAACGCAAACGTCAACTTTGGGTGGTAAGAAGGAAATTCCCTTGGGTGGGTGGGGAACCGAGGGTACAGGTGTCACACGAAGACGATATAAGGCTGCTTCTTGCCGATGACAAGCCAGTTGGTTACCGGACCTCGTGACAATCACATTAAATTAATAATAATATTGGATTTTATGAATTTTTACTGGTGATCAACCGCTGGACGGTGACACCGAATGGTTTATCATTTTCTCTGGTTAAAGAAAGAAAACAAAGAGAGTAAAAACTGTAGTGAAGGATTAGTGAAAGAAATCTTTTCCACTTTTAAGAATTTTTTCTACAGCTGATAATTGAACTTGTGAAAACGTTTAAAACAACTTTTGTGAGAATAGAATCAAGATTAATAAATTAAGGTGAGTTGGATGTGAATTTTACATTTTTTTCATCAATTTTTAATTGACTATTCTCTGTACTGATGAAAACGGAAAATTATTGCATTGTAGAGTACGTAATACATTACAATCTTATCGCGTTATCGGATTTGTTGAAATTATTGCCAGCTGTGAACCACGAATCATTCATGTGGCAATAAACCATCGACTCATGTTTCAAACCATTCCCTATAAGATTCCGAAATTTGACGTTTATGAACGATTTATTCCCATGCGAAGTACTTTTATCGATCTTAATCGTCTCTCGATTAATTCTCTCTAAAAAATCATCATTTCTTTATCCTTTATAATTTTCATTCACCTTTTATGTTCGATGTTGCAATTGCTGTTCCACCTGGCGGAAATTGCATTGAGCGATGATAATGTAAAAAATGACACAACACCGTTTATGACAGTCGATCGATGAATTACAAAATTATTGAAAAAAAAGGAAACGATGATTAGAATTCAAGATTATCCTCTATAGCAGTTTGACTTACTGTTGAGAACGATTAAATTAATTAATAATTGAAATCAATTCAACAATTCCAATGATTCGATGAATTCCAATTTAAATTATTCCCATATGTGACTGAAACGACTGACATAAATGAAACAAAAAAAAAAACCCGTGACCTTGAGATCATAACTAGAAGCCCTAAAACAAAAAGAACTTAAATGAACGAACGGAGAATGCCAGACGGGTAGAACCGGATTTCTTTAATACTCTTTGTGCCCGGAATTATCTACTCCTTTGTTTACATCGTATCCTAGCCGCCTCGAGTCCTGCAATTCGTAGCAATAAGAATAATGAAATATTTCAATTAAATTGATATACCTCTTCGAAACGAGTTACAGAAAAATGAAGTATTTACTAATAATCAGCGAAACCGGATTACTTCACATTTACAGATTGCGGTGAAGTTGATAATTTATATTTCTCTGTATTTTTATCATGATTTTTCTCCCATTTTTTAACGTGAAGCGTAAAACGAGTTTAATCTTTCTATCTCCGTTTCTCTTCTCTCGATCTGGGGGCGACTTTTCCTTTCAGTTCCCCGTGATTACGAAATTACCACGGGGAATAGATAAGCGCTAGTCTAAGTATTGAAGTGAAACAAGCAGTGGGACGAGATAGTTGAGGTCCTGGTTTGGATGGACCGTATATTTCTTTTTTCTCCTTTTTCTGAATTCATTTATATGTGGATAGCCTCGCATTACGAGAAGCCGGTTCGTAGACCTTCGCCAACTGTTTCAACCTAGATCTAGAGAACCTTCGTAATGACGAAATATATTGCGCGCCGATCTTGCGTTAGTGGCATTTTTCAGACGATGTAGGTGGAGATGTAGATGTTATTTTTCAACAGCTATGTTTTCGGGATTGATTATTATGTTACTGGGGAAAATGGCGTTATTATCACTTCTCTGATACAACATGTCAACTTCTTATTGAACGATTTTCATCTTTCAGATGACAACGTTTATAAAAACAGTTACCGAAAACTATCGGGACTTGATGGACAACAAAAGTGATCCCAGAGTCAACGACTGGCCTCTGATGAGTGGTCCTCTTCCCACATTCCTCATATGCATATCTTACGCTTATTTTGTCAAAGTACTGGGCCCAAAACTCATGGAGAATCGTAAACCGTTCAGCCTCCGGAGAATAATGATAGGCTACAATTTATTTCAAGTTATATTCTCAACTTGGTTGTTTTACGAGGTAATAGTTATAGCCGATATTCTCAACTATTTCTCAATTTCCACTTTATACTATCCCGAATCTCATAAACCTTATTTCTCAGCTTAGCATCACTCATTGAATTTTGATGAATTTTCTTAATGTTTATTAGAGCCTGGCTGCTGGCTGGTGGAACGATTATTCATTCAGGTGTCAGCCCGTTGACTACTCAAGGAGGCCAAAAGCCATGAGAATGGCGAGTGGATGCTGGTGGTATTTTATCTCAAAATTCACCGAATTCCTTGATACATTGTTCTTTGTATTGAGAAAGAAGAACGATCACATCTCCACTCTCCATGTTATTCATCATGGGATTATGCCAATGTCCACTTGGTTTGGGGTTAAATTTACTCCAGGTAAATGAAAAAAATGAAGAAAACCATTTAGATACGCAATGGAGATTGGAAAATTCAATGAAAATTCATGCAAGTCGCCTATTCCTCGGAATATCTTCCTCTCATAAATGTCTCTAACAAAGTAGTAATAGAGAAAAAGAAATGCTTATTTGCGGTTTGTTAATAAAAGCCCCGCAAAACCAAAACATCACGAGTCACTCGATGCCAACGTCGACATGAAATCGGTTATTTCAATTATATTTATATCGACGTTCTCGAACCGCACTCATCATTTTGCGTTTATGGACTAATGTATAAACTTGAAACTTCCCCTTTTATCAAATTATCGCTTCATGTTGCACCGCTATCATGTTGCACGCTGTTCTCTTCTTCTTCCTCTTCAGGGACTTTAACATTAAGGCTTACACCAGGAGGAAGGCGAAGAAGACTTCATTGTCGTTATGCCAATGGAAGTGGAAAATTCGCCAAGAATGGCTCTGCTTATCCCACTCTCAACTTTGTAAAACCTCATCTTTATACTTTTCATTATCTATCTTCTTTTTGTAAACCTATAACCATATATTCCCTTTGTTTTCTAACGTTTTTATACCATTTCCTTAATACCTGGCTGAAGGCCCTCGGGCGATGGCCAGTTGCAAGTTCTCGGGCTTGCAACGAATTCCGTTAAAAATGAAATAAAGTATAAACTTGAATAATTTTACAGGCGGCCATTCGTCGTTCTTCGGTCTGCTGAACACATTTGTGCATATTGTGATGTATGGCTACTATCTTTTGGCAGCCCTCGGGCCAAAGGTCCAGCCATACTTGTGGTGGAAGAAGTACCTGACAACCCTCCAAATGGTACAATTCGTTCTCGTGTTCATTCACACCTTCCAATTGCTCTTCACCGAGTGCAATTATCCAAAGGCATTCGTCTGGTGGATTGGAATGCACGCTGTACTCTTCTTCTTCCTCTTCAGGGACTTTTACATTAAGGCTTACACCAGGAGGAAGGCGAAGAAGACTTCATTGTCATTAGAAAAGGAGCAGAAATCGGCGAAGACGTTGAACGGTTATGCCAATGGAAGTGGAAAATTCGCCAAGAATGGCTCTGCTTATCCCAATGAGTACAAAATAGCCACTGGTTATATCAGTGATAATGGCCTCAGAAACCGCGTCTTCATTAGCAATCGTAGTATCGAGGAGTGACTTATGACTGTTTTGCCAATGATCTTCTCAATTACGGGAGGGAAAATTATTTTTTTCATGTTGAGTTGTTCATATTTCACGCGATTTGGGGGATGAAAAACAATTTTTTTCATTTCATAATTGATGGTTTACTTTTCTACTGAAGAGATGGTTCATCGAATTAGCTTACATGACTAAGATACGCAAGAGGAAGAACAAATCAGTAGTCAAGTGGTGAAAAGGTATGATAATTCACCAAATGATGATAAAATTTGGACTGATTCGAATCGTTTTACTACTTCTCGACTGGTGTTTTTTCCCTATTTTTTTACGCTCACGGGGGATCAACATTCATGCGATATTCCGCGTCATTGTATGTTTGGTTGAGCATGTGTGATTGTGTGAGAGGTCTTGTTCAATAGTTTCGGTGGCCACATTGTTGAATCGAAATTCCAAAGATTTTTTCATGAGCCCTTTGTCCCTTTATCCCTTGAGTTTATAATAGATGAATGTGACACAAACGAGAGTTTTCTATCCATTGAGATGAGAATTTTAAGACTTTATTAATTAGAATAGCGGTGATGCCATTACAATTCCTGTTAGAATGTCTCATAGATTGACCCTTTTCAATGTTAATTCTGTGGTTCGAGAGAAATTGTGGGAAGTAAATGTATCTCAATCTGCTCAACCATAGAATCTTTGGAAAAAATATTTCCATGCCGATGCATCATCATGTGATGACAAGTGGATGATGACGAGTTATTGAGTAAGATGATTTCAAATGTTCGGAAGACGTCCATAAGCGCGTCCCGAATCGGGTACGTTATGTATTCACTCGACAATCTCAAATAGGGAATTACTAGATTAAGATTATGATACTCTTGGCTTTGAGTTATCAAATTCCCGAGGATCATGTAATAATTTTTTTTTGTACTTTAGCCATGTTTAGATGTAATGTATATTTATGAAAATACATGTGTCTTTAGGAGTAAATATTGAATTGAATGGATGTTAGAATTTAGGAAAATCAATAAACTGCAAACAATTTTTCCCTACCTACGTTAAATTACCGGCAGCCGATAAAAAACATGGGATAATGGCATAACCACCAGTAGATGAAAAAGATCATACGAATGACAAAGAGGATTTGAAAATAGGCGCCCGGAAATTGTCAAGTAAATGCTGTTGTCAATAATCTGTTGACAGATCAAATCCAATAGAAATCGGAGAAGAGTAATTATTAAAATAAGTGGGAAAAACGGCTATTGACGCGATCTCATCAGTCACTGAGAACTCCATCGGTGAAAGTGACCATCGAGGCCTCACACGTTGTTGATTGAAAGTATTGAGCCAGATAGCAGGTCTACTCTCAAATCCAAAACGCATAACCCATTATAAAAATTTCTATCCAATTCTAATGCAATAATGAATAAATAAATGAATCTAATTATTCAAAAATTGTGGGACGGTTGTTCTTTCAGTCGATAGGATTTTATAGCATTGAAAAAAAATGCATATACTGTGTGTCTACATCTGTAAAAGTTTCAAATGTATTCATGAATTCAATCTTTTTCTACTATTTACTTTTATTTCTCGTTTTTCATTCTTTATTTATCGAATTCTTCTGCCTTTAATGCTACTTGAAACTTCGAATTTGATAAATGAATATCCATAATTTGCGTAGATTCCCACCATATTACATATGCATACAAAAATAGCGTCTTGTGGGTACCAAAAGTTCAAGTTTTCCATTTTCCGGTTTTTTTATGTTATTCAAATGTCAGACATCGGGGTATGCGTTAATGAATTCATTCAAAAAATACGTCAGAGTGATTATTGATTTCCAGGTTCTATTTGTTTTTTTCACGTGCTCTTCCAATTGAAAAATTTTTTAAATGTGGAATACTTGGCAGAACTCTTCGACCTCTGATATAGGACGTGACGCTAACATTGTGGTATTAGCTTTTCCAATCGCCTCGAGATATTGACAGGATGGAGTAATAATTCAGACTGTAGTTATTGAAAAATTCAGTTGTCATCGTTAACATCCGTTGGCAATGTTTGTTTATTTTTCTTTTCCTTTTTTTTCAGAGAAAAAACAGAATTCAGTATCACGAATTTGCTTGTATCGATCGCAAATAATACCCCTCTCTGTATTGTCATCTCTCCTATGGCGCAATTTTGAATAGCTGTCGATTCATAACCCATCCGGGTTCATAATTCAAGGTTGCCTTTCTCAATTTCACTCGATATCTAAAAATTGTCGTGGGGTAAACGACGGATTGGATAAGTTTTTGGTTTTCAATATATTTTTTGAATATTTTCTAGTTTTTCTATTTTGACTTTTCAAACTTTCTTCGGGAATTGCGGATGTTTTTACTTGAGGGAAAAACGAATTGGCCATTTTCCCAAGTACAAACTAGTGTGTGTCAGCATCCGCATATTTGGGCCGGAGGAAAACATAAAAGGTAGGGTAAAAGTATAAAGGGTGGGGGAGAGAGGAGAGGGCACTTTCGCTGACCGCTGAAGAATCGAGACTCCTTCTGTCATACCTTGCATAAGCCATCGCGCAAGGCCTGTTACGCGTCAAGACTTCTCTGTTCTCAACTTTGCCGCGAAACTCTCCCATAGACTATTTTTTTACGCATCACTCCCCGATCATATTTAAGTACAATAACAATCTTCGTCTTGAATCTCGACGAGTCATCATCATTATGTTCAATTATGAAAATGACTTTGAATAACGAAAAAGGAAATTTAATAGATCATTTTTTGTTGCGAAAATCATTAACTTGACTTATGAGGAAAACAACACTTTTGTTTACAAAAATTTCTGCTATAAAAATTGCAGTAGTCTGCAAATGCGTGATTGGGAAAGAAATTTTATTCAATTACGAAGAAATTACCGCTTGAATCATTAAAAGCAAATTGCACAATAAATGCTCATCACTTTATAATTTAAATTAAAAAATTTTTAAGAAAATTTTTCTTGGCAATTCTCCGGATTTTTTTCAGCGCATAATGGAGAAAATTAGCGGAAAACTCGGGCGTGAGCAGATCATTAAGATTCTGAAAATGCGACGTCATTGACAATGCAAATAAAATCTAGCGAGAATTCTCGAGAAGCGAACTTTGAATCCATTATTGAAATACCAATCGTCCTGTTGATGAGATTAGAGCCAACTTAGAGAGTTCACAATGGAAGGGTCAAAACGCACGTGAATTTTGAATGATCATTGTTATACGACGTTTTTTAACATAAAATTAGTATTTGAAAATACACGATGTCAAATGACTAGGTGACTTGTACTTGTTTTGCGGATAAAGAACGTCGGTTCACACAGTATTTACAATTCAAATGTTCATTAACACTGCAATTGCCGGTTCCACGATAAAACAAAAAAATACCAAAATGTATTCTGGATTTCTCATGTGCCCTTCAATTCGTCTCATCGCTTCACTATTCAAGATGTAATAGGAGAAAAGCGAGAATTCCCCTTAAGGGGAAACGGAACCCCTTTGTCTACATCAAATCTTAGAATTGTGTTTTCTCCTACAATTATTAATTTCTATCTATGAAATTACTTTATCGACTCGATTATCGCATTGTTGAGTCAATGAACTAGTTTAATGAATAAAAAATAATAATTGCAGGAGAAAACGCAATTCTAAAGATTCATATAAACGCAGGTGTTCCGTTTCCCCTTAAAATAATTGCAATTCCCCTAGAAAAAAAAAACATCAACTCGTTTGAGTGGTTTTTAAATATTGATTACATCCAAATACTTTGAATTTAAAATCCACGTGGTCTCCTTGAAGTTCGAACCGGGTACCGGTAGATGTCTGATATATCTAAACACCCCGCGCTCACCTCGAATGCAAATAAAATTGTCGGTGAATGACGCAAAAAGCTAAACATTGTCCCGAGGAGATGAAAAAAAATATATGTAAAAAATCAAGTGCCAAAATTCCCACAACTGACCCACCAATAAAATGCTAAATACTTTACGCTCCATTGGACCTGAGTAAAGAATCCAAGGACATGGAGTGTTTGAGCCAGTGACATAATTAATAAATCAATGAGCACCTGAGTGTTTGAAACTCGTTTGTACAGTCACAAACGTGAAAAGTAAGAGGCGGGACTAAACAAGCGTGGAGAGGGGATTGCCTGTAGTTTGCACGAAAATCTCAGGCGGAGTGTTGAGCACAACAGATCGCACTCAAAGACAGAGAACGTCAGTTCTGCCCCTGAAACACCGGGGGACACCTGTGAATTTAGCTTTTAAATTGTCACTACATATTAATTCTCTTAGTTATACCAGAGTATCTCCTTCCCCGAGTGCCTTTAATCTCCAAAAATTAGTAATATCTAATATTAGTGAAGTTATTTACTTTTTAAGTGGAAATCACCAAACGGTTAGTAAATTTTTATGCTGTTATTTCATTCGACTTGACACTAGAATAATTCGGGAAATGCATTGAATTTTTTAAATATTCTCACGAGTGTGTCGACCCCGGAGAAGACCTCAGAAATTGATGATAAAAATTTATCAATTTCGTCATGTTGGTTGAACAATTTGAATAGGTGAAATTCCCGGTTGAAAAAAAATTAAAAACCAACGGTCGGTTAAGTGCAAAAAGCTCACCGTTTCAAATCGAAGGGTTGAATTTCCGTGAACCCCCGCAAAAGCGCTGTTGTTCTCATAAGCGCGGCGATATTAACATTTGGCCATTTGTAGCGTCGTCCAGTCGGATTAGAGAGCCAAAGTGGGGCTGTGCCCGCCAGTGCCCACGATACACTCCACTTAGTCCTCGATCACCCCAAAGTGATCTGAAAAGCCAGCAAAATTGTGAATTTTTTTTAACACCAATATCATTAAATCACCAATAAAAATCAACGGAAAATTCATTAATAATAACTTGGACAGAACCCATAAATTGGCTTATGTGTACGGATAGGTGACAGTGTGACAGGAAATTTATTTATCATTTAAGATTAATTTTTTACCGTGAAAAAATAAAACGTGTTGAGTGTCAAGATTTAATAAGCAAAAATCCGCAGTTATTATTGCAATAATAAATAAATAAATAGCCACCGGGGAAAAGAGACGGAAGCAGGTGGGTGTAGTCGACCCTAGCGCGTGGGTAAGTCATTATTTCTGACAATTAAATTCAACCAAATAACCTTAAAAATGAGTGAGCATTAATCAATCCTCGAATTATCACAATTTTGTCATAAAATTTTCAACATTTTCACACTATTTTTGACTGTACTGAATGACTTAACGGAGCAAATGCCAAGTAGCATTGAGGTTAGGACGCCGCTAGACACGATCGATTATGTATTGAGAATGTTAGCGTGATTGTACCTACGGATTGTCTATTTTTATCCAAAATTTTCAGCCAATACTTTTTTTTCCCTCTCGAAATTTCTTCAATCTATCATTTCGATAATCATTTCCAAGGTTTCTACGGAATTCCCGGGGTTATATTGGTGGGTCGGAGGAAGGCAAAGGTGGGGGAGTGCTCTAACCTCCCCGAGTTTATTTTCAGCTCTTACAAATTGTTTGATATATTTATATTTGTCAGAATTGTGAGAGCTATGATTCATGACAGAGATCGTCAGACTCTTATCTATAAAGTAACGATGATGGTAATCATTATTGAGTTGTTTTTTATCGGTCGTCTGACTCATAGGGGACAAAAAAGAGTGGGGGGGGGG